CATGCTCACAAAAAGCCTGTGATTAATTAATTTTTATGCATTGACTGCTTCTTTCCTCTATTTTGAACATTCATATGCTCCCTCTAATATATCATAATATAAATATATTAAATGTAAATATATTAAAAATGTTCTTGGGAGAATGAATTGGGGCAATGTTTTGAGGAAGAATGGTAGCTTTGGTGCACTGCAGAGAATACGTTCTAGTACAATTTGTGCTCACCTTTGCCTGATACATTTTAAAAGTAAAATTATAGAATCATAGAATCCATTTCTCAAAAACCAGGCTATCTGAATTTTTTTCCAATATTGATGACAGAGGTGACAGATGTCCATGCACCTCAGTGTGATTTAAGTCATATGTTCTTTATGTTAAAGAATTAGTGGATTAACAATTTTACAATGTGTCTGAGGTGTTGCAGGTAAATATAGGCCCATCCCCTGATGTAGCCATTTTTAGGGTTCCAAAGATTTGCTCCCAGTTTTATTCTACACAACTTGATATTTTGGCATTTACCTCATTATTAGCTAGGCGTCATATTCGACTTCACTGGAAATCAAATAAGCCTCCAACTACATTCCAATGACTTGTTAATACCATGCATTTTCTAAAAGTTGGAAAAGGTTAGATGCTCTGGGAAAACTAATTTCTTTAAAAAGTGGCAATGTTATTTAACTTTAAGGGCTCTATTTTGACGGTCCATGCGCAAAGTGCAAATCGCAGGGCGCAAACGCTTTTAGGGTGTGTCAGAATCTGCTTTGCGCCGTGGCGCATGATCTAAAAGAGTTGAGCTTATTTTCTTAATAAGTTATAGGTGTATTTTGAGAATAAACCAATCAGAGTCTCATCTCCCATTCACTTTAAGAGCCAGTTGCGTTGCGCCATAAGCACATTTGCTATTTACATGATGTAAAGTAAGTGTAAGTGGAAAAACTGAGCATTTCACTAGCATGAAAACAGTTAAACAGAGCATCTCATCTACTTTCACTTTCGCTCTCGTGGATAGGGAAACCTTGTATGCACAGACATCAATTAGCCTATAAATAATTCATCTTGTTTGCTAAACACAAATATTAGAAAGCTAGATTCAAAACTATATCTAAATTCAGTTCTAATTTCCAGCAAACAAATAAATAATGAAGTGAGTTTTATGAAGTGAGTTATTTCCAAATACACATGCTATGCCCATATGGTCTGAAACCTGCCAGGTGGGCAAACCTAAGCTAGTTTTTAATTAAACAAATATAAATATGGATATAATAGATAATACTGCTAATAATAATAACATTATATAAAAGAAAATTGTTATGAATGAACTGAAAAAGCCTCCCGAGATGAAGAAAGCATAAAGGCAGTGGTTTTTAAATTTATGTAGGCTAGAAAATAATATGTTTTGTAATATTATAATCCTTTATACTTATATCCTAAATATACCCTTATTATATCCTATATATACGCATCCTTAATATTTTAATTATTTTTCATATGTAAAGATATTTGCTTATTGCTCTACATCTTGTGTGTATTAAGCAGTGTGTAAGCGAAGTGCATAACTAACGCGCTCTGCGCTGGACTTTAGATTGGCTTTGTTTTGGTCTATTGAAAAATCTATTATGGTTTCTTAAAATAGCAACGCACCAGCAATGCACCTCAGAACGCCTTCCTTTTTAGACCAGAACGCCTATGGGCGCACATATGAGCGCAAACGCATTTGCTATTTAAACAGCGTGGCGGAAAACGTCAAAACAACTCTTGCGCCAAGCTGAAACTAGCAAACAACAATTGCGTCGCACCTTGCGCCACATAGCGCCGGGTGTATGATAGGGCCCTAACTCTCTTAACATTTTGCTTTCCATTTAATAGATGACCTCTCCTTCTTTTTTAACTTATACTGTTTAATTGTAAACAGATACATTGTCAATGTTGAAAGTAAATGAACATTGGATTGTGATTGTTGAATGTCTGCATTTAGTTGGTTGTAATTTTCTGTACACTTTTCTTCCCCTTATTATTATTATTATTATTATTATTATCAATGCATGTTTTTTTCTTCTCTTTTGTAAAAACAAAAAACAAAAAGATAAAGACATGTATCTATTTGTACTGAAATAGTTAAATAAAAAAAATTAATAATTAAAATGTTATATTAAAAATGTTAAGTCAAGTTATAAATAAACATTTTTTTTATTTTATATATATATTGTGTGACAAATGGGTTTAAGGTTGACCCTTTTCTTGTTTCTTTGGTTTTTTTTTTTTGTTACAAATAACCTTAACAGCATAACTGAGAACAAAGGAGGAAAATCAATAACTCCTCCATTTCTCTTAATGACTAATGGGAGGAAAACTGCTGTCAGCAGTCCACTCCTTTGACCGGATGTTATCACAAGAAGACCTTTTACTGTAAATGGTGTTTAGATCTACATACCATTAAAAACTCTCTCTTTTCATCAGTCTAAACTTTACAAAATTATTAAGTTGATTTAAGTCTTTTCTGCTGTTTGATTAATGAAAAAGCTAAATATTCTAAACTCTAACAAATTCAGGATTTCCTCTAAAAATTCTTTGTGAACAACTCCAGTTAATCATTTTCATAATAACTCAAGCCACAGTCAAGAGTTAAGATGAGTTAAATACTAGCATACAAGACAAGTATGTATCGCCTTACAGCATATGACTGCATAATGCCAAACTACAAATGCTCATTTATATTTTATTAGAGCCAAGCTAGCTCTTTTGTACTCTTAACCCTTTAACGGGCATTTTAGGGTTAGAATTGCTTATGCAAGTACATCCTTGATGAAACAAAAGGCATCTAATCATGTTTCTGGTATTGAAATCAAACTCTAATTAGCCAATACTACACTTTTCAAATGAAAAACATTGCTTGCGATCTATTAAGAGAAGTTGAAGTGAATGTAAAAGTTGCCCGTTCCCTAATTTGAAACAGCTGTGGTCACATTCAGGCTCTCGACCACAGAAATAGCACATAAACACAGCTCAGCAAGGCACGCTAGTTTAAAATTAAGCGGTAAAGGCCTTACTTTATTTCTTTAAAAAGCACCATACCATATTCCACCCTTTAATTACATGAACTCAGACTCATCTAAGTGGGCCTCCCATGACTTTGTGCTCTATGCTGCTGGTTACCAAATGTACTCAAAAGGAGATCCACCAGTATAATAGAAAGGGAAAGGATTTGTGTTGGGATAACATGAAGGAAATAAATTAACTTATATTATTTTTTGCAAATTTCAGGGTCTTTAAAAAGTATTAAAAGTTAATAAACCAATTATTAGAAAATGAAGGCCCTTAAAAAGGTATTTAAAAATCTTATTCACATTTTTATAAGGTCTTAAGTTTTGTTCAAGCGTTGTCCAAAGTGTTTGACTTCAAAAAAAAGTATAATATATTTATTTTTCTTGTAATAATAACAATTACGTGCCGAGGCGCATACGGCAAAAGCTCCTCCGTCTGAGTGATGTCACGTAATTTGCAAGAAACGCGGGAAGGTGATGTGACGCTCTCCACCTGTAGTGAAACCAAAGAGCAGAAAAGATGGCAAAATGGGAAAATGTAAGTTTGCGTGCTCCTAGTTGGAGAAAGACGAGTTTAAACAGTGGCTAAAGCCTGTCACTGAAAACAACCACGTAATTTATTATTTCAAGCTTTGTTTCTTCCGAGCTCATCTGAGTTCTGTTGCATTGTTGTGCTCGATTGATCAAACTACAACTGTTTATTAACAACTGTTTATTAAGTTAAAGGTTTGATACTGATTATAACATGAAGTGTTGATGAGGTCTTAAAATATTCTGAGAAGGTCTTTAAAAAAATCTTTGAAAAAGGTATTGAAATTACCTTCAGCATTTCTACATATACCCTGAATTTGTAAGTGAATTAAAGATTAAACAATTAAGTTGTTGAAAAAAAAATCTTAATAACCTTAAGAGTTGTGGTAATTCAGCTAATTTTAGATAAGTAACTTGAACAAACAGCAAATAAAATGTTTAGATGCAAGTGCCGTCTAAATTATTCCATCGAAAACAAAGTTTTTTCAGCCTCTTTTGTTTATGTTGACATATTTCACCATAAAAATCAAGAAAATGACTTTGCAAAAAGTGGCATTACTAATCCTACACACATGAGCCTGATAAAATGCTTATTAAAAGGAAAATTTCAAACAGCATTAAGAGGTTTTTGCATGTAAACTCTTCAAACTTATATTTTTGGGGCATTAACAGACAAGAGGGAATGTTCTCGTTAAAGCAAGCTTGCATTGCTGTATGCTTAAATTCAGGATAGGAACCATATGCAAACTATCAGGTGATCACAATCAACCCTTTCAATAGTGTCTATATTGTGTCCAACCACTCGCATTCAGAAACACACAACAGCTGTGTAGTTTCATATTTCTAAACACAGACAAACACAACTTGGCACGATTTGGCAACACAGCCTAACAATGCACGCACTTTATACAATGGAAACCTATGGTTAGCCCACTATAACCACACAATCTACTGTCTAAACTACTAAAATAATCTATGAACAAACCTGTGACATAAATAAACGCACCGAGATTTCAGCCAACAAATATCATGATACCAAAAGCAAAACCTTTACATTTACAGCAGGGGGAAATGACGAAAGTACCTATTTTTACAGATCTGACTGTTGTTTATAGGGAAACGGACACTACACGTATCAAAAGTAACGTTATTTCCAAAGCAAATAACAAACACATGGAGTAAATAACGGGAGTTTTTAGGCGTTGCCTTACAAACACAACACGTTTAACCCCTTTAAACCACATTATATCGACATAACCAAAAACATATTTCTTAAGACTTCTCCGGGTAGCAGTTTAACGTTACGCTTTTTATGTTATTAAAGGGATTTACAGTTTATGTATGGTGCACAAGACATGCGAGGGCTGCGTTTCAAACCGCAAACTTCCACAACAAACAGCATAACAATTATAAAACTCGAGTAAACTTGCCGTATTTCGGTTTCTCTTCCATATCCATTTCAGCTTAGCGTGTTGTGGAGCAGCTGTGGTGAACTATACTTCAGTGACCATGAGGACTTCTGTCCACAACAAACTGCAGAGCAGACTAGCGATTCATGAAAGATGAAACTGGCTGGGAGTGATTTGATTGACAGGTCTTTTAACCAATCACGGGGCGTTCTCGTGCAGCAGATTTCTTTTGTTTTTCGTGTAAATTATTAAGATAATATTAACGAAAGGACACACATACTGTGAATTTTAATACAAACTGATTCAGGTAGCAGGATATAATATAAGCCAAATATAAAATTTCCTTTATGTTATATTATTTTATATTATATTATATTATATTATATTATATTATATTATATTATATTATATTATATTATATTATATTATTTTATATGATATGATATTATATTATATTATATTATATTATTTTATATTATATTATATTATTTTATTTTATATTATATTATATTATATTATATTATATTATATTATATTATATTATATTATATTATATTATATTATATTATATTATATTTTATATTATTCATTCATTGATTCCTTTTCCTTGGGCTTAGTCCCTTTATTAATCAAGGGTCGCCACTGAGGAATGATCCGCCAACTTATCCAGCATATGTTTTACACAGTGGACGACTTTCCAGCTGCAATCCATCACTGGGAAACACCCATACACTCTCACTCACACACATACACTACGGACAATTTAGCATACACAATTGACCTATAGGGGAAAGCGGAGCACCTGGAGGAAATCCACATCAACATGGGAAAACTTGCAAACTCCACACAGAAATGACAACTGACCCAGCCGAGGCTCGAACCAGCGACTTTCTTGCTGTGAGGTGACAGCGCTACCCACTGCGCTACCTATAATACCCATTATATTATATTATATTATATTATATTATATTATATTATATTATATTATATTATATTATATTATAGCTGTCTAAATTTAATATAAACAATTCTTCGCAATGCACATTCTGTAATTCTAATCTGGAAACAATAGCGCATTTATTTTTAGAATGCAATTATGTAGAAATATTTGGACAAATATCTTAGCCTGTCTTCTCAGCTTACAGAAAACTTTTAGATTTTTTTACAATTAATTTATTGTTTTTGATTTGGGAGTCGGATTGTGAGGAAATGGACAATATGTTGAAATTTGTAACTCTTTGTGGTCTTTTCCATCTTCACAAATGCAGAGTTATTCAGTGTTTGCCTAATTTTAGAACATTTTGTATTGACTTGAAACTTTATTATGAATCGGTCTGCCTACACTCTAAAAAAAATGGGTTTATTTTTTTCTACCCATTTTTTCGCTCACCCTGCGATCTGTGTGAGTCCTAATGCCCCAGTAAAAGTGAAGGGGACACTACACTGTCACATTATATTACATTACAAATTGTTTGATTTATTCAGTTTTCAGATGATGTATAAATCTAATTTTCCAAAAATGTGTCACTTATGATGGTTTTGTAGGCCACAATCACATTTTATCCCTTTATATATAATCTAAAAATGTATGTATACATTCATTCTTTTTCTTTTCGGCTTAGTCCCTTTATTAATCACAGTGAAATGAACTGCCAACTTATCCAGCGGATGTTTTACACAGCGCCTTGACTTGTTTTACACAGATGCCCTTCCAGCTGCAACCCATCACCCACCACATGTTTTTGGACTTGTGGGGGAAACCGGAGCACCTGGAGGAAACCCATGCGAACATGGAGAGAACATGCAAACTCCACACAGAAATGCCAACTGACCAAGCCGGGGCTCGAATCAGTGACCTCCTTGCTGTGAGGCGGTTGTGCTCCCCACTGTGCCACCGTGCTGCCCTATAAATGACTTTGAGGCTTTTTTAACATGAAAAATTCGTACAAGATATGCCTGAAAGTTCAGATGCAAAAGTGTGTGAAAGTTTCTTTCAAACCGTTTTTCTTTGCATTATTCTTTATGTGGGTTCAGTAATTTCACATTTATGACAAAAATAGGTTGTTTTCATTGTCTTCAAAGTGAAATAACTAAATATAAATACAGGAGGCAGAGAAAAATGTGTTTTATATATTATATAAACCAGCGACGCGATGGCGCAGTGGGTAGCGCTTTTGCCTCACAACAAGAAGTTCACTGATTGGAGCCTCAGCTGGGTCAGTTGGCATTTCTGTGTGAAGTTTGCATGTTCTCGCCATGTTGGCGTGGGTTTCCTTCGGGTGCTCCGGTTTCCCCCACAGTCCAAAGACATGCGCTATAGGTGAACTGGGTCAGCTAAAAATTGTTTGTGGTGTGTGTATGGATGTTTCTCAGTGATGGGTTGCAGATGGAAGGGCATCCGCTGCATAAAACATTTGCTTGATAAGTTGTTGGTTCATCCCGCTGTGGCAACCCCAGATTAATAAAGGGACTAGGCAGAAAAGAAAATGAATGCATGAATAAATGTATTATAAACCATTTTTGCTAATTTACTGAGGCCCTCTAGTGGGTAAATATGGAAGATGCAAATACCCTGACTGAAAATAACTGACTTTAAGGCTTTATTACCAACATGTAAATACAATAAAATGAATACATGAAACAAAAACAATGACACACAACAGAGCAAGGGAAGTAGACCATTTAATTCTAATTCTCCACTACACATTATGATTGTAAACAATAAATAATAATAATAATCAGTAGCAATAATTGTTTATAATTAATTGTTAAATAATGCCTTTGTGATTCTGTCATTTCATGACTAAACAAACTGTATGAACAACAATCAAATACCTTATGAAAGCCCTGCGTTTACACTGTTTTTAAACTGTTTTCACAGTCATCTCTATTCTTTCATTTGGTTTGGCTCCTTAGGTTGAGACTTCCTAAATCATTTGTTGTAATTTGTAATTTTCCCCCTTGCACTGGACTTTTGAAGTAAACTTGGTCACAATTTTACAACAAGGTTCTTTTAATTAATGTTATTGTACTTACTAACATGACCAAATAATGAACAATAGGCTATATTTTTATATTTAATTATCTTTATTAACGTTAGTTAATGGAAAGCCATTTATGCTTAGCTCTTGTTAACCATAGACACAGACCTGTAGCCAACCTATTAAAAGGAGTGTTTTTTTCTTAAGAAAAAAAAAAAAAAAAAAAGATCTTTTGGTAGTTATTCGCCTCAAATTATTAGGTTCACATACTGCATTTTAGTGCCATTTTAAGCATTAATTTGTGCTGGATTAGTTTGTGGTTTGATGGTTATCATTACCATACTTATTGATGCAACAAAATACCTCCTACAGATTTGTCAAAGTGCTTATCTTACAATTTTTTTGTTTGCAAAAATGTATATTTATTTAAAAATGTGCATTTAAACTTTAAGTTATAAGAGTTTTATATATAATGTAATGAGATTAGAATTTTAGAAATGTGAAGAAAAAAAATCAATTGTTACTTTATCATCCATCATAAAAAAATAATTGGGAATCTGTTAAAACCTATAAGCAAATAACAAACTGGCCAGCTCATTTCCTCCATTCCTCAATTTGTCTATTTAAATAATACAAAAAAAAAAACTTATTTTATTGGTTATTTTATTTGTTGTTCTTTCTAAAACCTTCTTCTATTGGTTATTTTCACAATTTATGAAGGCATACTGTCAAAAAAGGGAAAAATGAGCTCATATGGAGCCAAATTCTGGACTTTGTAAGAAGGGGGGTGGGTCTTTTAAACCACCCAAACCCCCAACGGGCCTGCATAGACAGTAAAAACACACAGTGCATTGACTAATTTTTAATAGAAATTAATAAAAATAATATTAATTATAATATTAACTAGATAGTAAAGTTTGAGGACAAACTTTATGGTGGCTTGAAAAGCCGAATCTGAAAGTTTGAAGTGGTTTTAAAGTGTAAATAGCATGTTAGTATGATTTTAGCTTGAGGTAACATATTACTAGCATGAATTAGCATGTTAGTAGCATGATTCTTACATGAATTAGCATGTTGTTAGCATGATTCTAGCATGAATTAGCAAGTTACTAGCATGTTTCTAACATGAATTAGCATGTTGTTAGCGTGATTCTAGCATGAATTAGCATGTTACTAGCATGATTCTAGCATGAATTAGCATGCTACTTGGATAATTCTAGCATGAATTAGCATGTTAGTAGCATGATTCTTACATGAATTAGCATGTTAGCATGATTCTAGCATGAATTAGCATGTTACTAGCATGATTCTAGCATGAATTAGCATGTTGTTAGCATAAATCTAGCATAAATTAGCATGTTACTAGTATGATTCTAGCATGAATTAGCATGTTGTTAGCATAATTCTAGCATGAATTAGCATTTTACTAGGCGGTTGCTAGGGTGTTTTAAGTGGTTGCTAAGGTGGTGCCAGGCAGTTGCTAAGGTGGTCTGACTAGTTGCTAGGTGGTTGCTAAGGTGTTGCTAGACGGTTGCTAGGGTGTTTTGAGTGGTTGCTAGGTGGTTGCTAAGGTGGTGCTAGGCAGTTGCTAAGGTGTTCTGACTAGTTGCTTAGTGGTTACTAAGGTGTTGCAAGGTGGTCGCTAGGGTATTCTGAGTGGTTGCTAGGTTGTTGCTAAGGTGTTGCTAGGCGGTTGCTAGGGTGTTCTGAGTGGTTGCTAAGGTGTTGCTAGGTGGTTGCTAAGGTATCCTAAGTGGTTGCTTGGTGGTTGCTAAGGTGTTGCTAGGTGGTTGCTAAGGTGTTGCTAGGCGGTTGCTAGGGTGTCCTAAGTGGTTGCTAGATGGTTGCTAAGGTCTTGCTAGGCGGTTGCTAGGGTGTTCTGAGTGGTTGCTAGGTGGTTGCTAAGGTGTTGCTAGGTGGTTGCAAAGGTGTCCTAAGTGGTTGCTAGGTGGTTGCTAAGGTGTTGCTAGGTGGTTGCTAAGGTGTTGCTAGGCGGTTGCTAGGGTGTCCTAAGTGGTTGCTAGGTGGTTGCTAAGGTGTTGCTAGGCGGTTGCTAGGGTATTCTGAGTGGTTGCTAAGGAGTTGCTAGGTGGTTGCTAGGGTGTCCTGAGTGGTTGCTAGGTGGTTGCTAAGGTGTTGCTAGGTGGTTGCTAGGGT